CTGGGGGTGGGGGTCCCTCAGCCCAGCCTGTGTCCTCTTACAGTTCGGGAGCCCTCGGGGGATGTCTGCCTGCCGCAGGGGCAGGAGAGGCTCCCGCCACCGCTACTGTGCTCACCAACCATGAGCCCAGCGTCTGGCTGAGCGGTGCTCCCCCTGTGGGAGTGCACTGACCACCAGGGGGCCGCTCCTGCATTGAGTGTCTGCCCCCCTGGTGGTCATAGTGACCAGTCTTTCTACCGTTTGGTCGATTTGCATATTAGCCTTTTATTATATAGGATATATAATGGAATCTATATTAGCCTTTTATTATGTAGGATATATAATGGAATATTATAGAGGATATATAATGGGATATTATCCTGTATAATAAAAACCTAATATGCAAATTGTCCCCTTGACTGGGAGTTTGACTGGGAGTTCGACCAGGTGGCAGGGCTGACCGGCCAACCTCCTGCATCCCCTCCTCCTGGCTGGCCCAGCCCGATCCGCCCCGATTGGGGCGGGCTGGCTGGACCCCACCTGTGCACAAATTTGTGCACTGGGCCTCTAGATCAGCTATAAAAAAGAATGAAATCTTGCCATTTGTGACAACATGGGTAGACCTCAAGGATATTATGCTAAATAAATAAGTCAGACAGAGAAAGACAAATACCATATGGTTTCATATGTGAAATCTAAAAATAAAAAACTAAGCTTATAGATACAGAGAACAGAATAGCAGTTGCCAGAGGTGGGCCCAGGGGATGGGAGGTGGGAGAATGGGTGAAGAGAATCAACAACAACAAACAGCAGATTAAAAACAAAGATTTTTAAAAAACAATCCCAGAGAGCTTCTTATAAAAAGAAAACAGATCCCTAGGGGCTACCAAGTTGGACCTTCTGAGTCAGATTCCCCAAGAGTGGGGCCTGGAACTCTTTAACAAACTCCCCAGAGGATTCTTATGAATAGCAGCCAGGTCCAGTCTCTCTTCTTTTCCTGGGGAAACTGAGGCCCAAAAAAGCTGAGCCAGTCATCAGCTGAACCAAAATCAAAAATTAGATCTTTGGACCCACAATTAGATGTTATTTCCACAAAAAGACCAGGAGCCTATAAGACCCAAAAGAATTGCCCATCATTTTCTTTGTTTGTTTTAATTTTTTTTAATCAAAGCACACAATTTAAAGGGTCAAATAAAGGTAGTTTTACGAGGTTTGTGTGAGAAAACACAGCTCCTTGTCCACACCCTGCCATCTCCCCCTCCCCACTTTCAACTCTTAGCTGATCCTTTGGGTATTGAAGGAAGCCAGAATGTCACCCAAAATATGTTTCTTTGACATAAAAATGTTATTTCGAGCTGAAGGCAATTAAGAAGCAGCAAATGCAGGAAGAGCTTGACTTCCCCCTCTCTCTTTTCTGTCTAAAGGCAGGATATAAATTCTCCTTTTCTTGAGATTGATTCTTATCCTTTTGGAGATACCGCAAGTGAGCCGTACTCCATTAGTTCCCTCCCATTATTTACCTTCCTAGTTTGTCATTTTTGGAAGCCTAAAACTGATTTCCTTTGTCTTGTTATCCCTATACCAATGTGTTCTTTGTTGATATTACACAAGCCAGAGTTCTAAAACCCTGCTTTCAGCTACTTTTCACTGAGGGTTCTCCCACATAATGTCTGCTGCCTATATTAATAAACTGTTTTTCTCTTATTAATTGGTCAGTTCCCTATACAAATGTGTTCTTTGTTGATGCTACACAAGCCAGAGTTCTAAACCCCTGCTTTCAGCTACTTTTCACTGAGGGTTCTCCCACATAATGTGTGCTGCATATATTAATAAACTGTTTTCCTCTCCAGCTGAAAACCCAAGATGGGTGAAGTTTTGCCTCCCTATAGCATTTGCTCCCACCCTTGGCATTGTTGCATTTTTCCAACAAGCATGCATTGCTTTGTAGAGTTGGATGGCCAGGTTTAGCACAGGTCTGGGATGCTGGGCATTGCAGAGTGCCCCAGGGGTCACTGGGCACAGGCCACCAGCTCCTCCAGGGCTTGCTCGCGGCGGTTGCCGTGGACCAGCAGCACCTCCTTGATCCGGTCCTGCTGGAAGCCCATGTCGCTGAACTGTTCCCAGAGGCGCAGAAACTCCCCTGCCTGAGGACGGAAGGCAGGGAGGGCACTGAGGCATAGCCTCTACTCTGGGGAGCCCCCTCCCTGCTGTCCTCTACTCCCAGAAGCTGTGGCCCTCACAGGCCGGGTAAACCTGATCCTGGGCCTCACCTGCATTTCCTTTGTACCTGTGAGGTGACACGGGTCCAGGAAGGAGGCCCCAGCCTGGCCACTGGCTTGGTCCTGGCTTTCCTCCCCCACTCTAGCTCTCTCCTGACTACCTGTGCTTGGGGGCTGGGGCCGGAAGAGGCAAGCCAAACACTGGCGCCCAGAGGATGTGTAGCCCAGGGTCTCTGCCAGGCCCCAAACTCTGCCAAGGTTTCACAGAGTACAGCTTTGGTCCCCCTTCCTCCTCTGGCACCAGCACTTTAAACATCCCTGCTTTCCTCCCTCCCTCCTCCTCTATTTCTCCCACCTTCCATCCCTTCATCAGCCTCTGTGAAGAGTTGCTCTCGAGCCTGAACCAGCTG